CATTCACCGGGGTATCGTTGGCTGCTGAGTACCTCTCATTAGGTCCCAACGCCTTCCGATCCAAGATCTGGAACTCATCCAAGTATCTTTTCGCAATCACAGTCACCGATGCTCCTGAGTCAATCAACCACCATTTGCTTGCATCATCCTTTTCCATGCTTTTGACTTGATTCATCGGAGGTTTCATCAAAGACCGAACTGACTTAGATGGCAACATCTGAGATAAATCGGTAGAGATCCGATGCTCCAACTCGGCAATCCGGACTCTCGTCTCAACTTCCCATGACCAATCTATCTCATCAGTACTCCGGGGAATCCACTCTTTTCTCACTTCATCGAGCAATCCTTCCAGAGGTTGCAACACAGATTCCACTCGGGCCTCTGACTCAGGTTCATTCCATTCACCTCCAGTTAGCTGGTAGTCACTCGACTCACCCTCTTGGGAGACTTCAGCAACTGTCTTCCCCTTTCCTTTGCCTTTTCCTTTGGGCTTTCCCTTTTCGGGCTTCTTCTTGGGATCTCCTTTTGCCTTGGCTTTCGCCTTAGCATTGGGGGAATTGGGCTTCTTGCCTGAATCTCCCTCCTTATACCAGCAATCGCGGGCATAATGTCCCTTTCCACCACACACATAGCACTCCACATCCTTCTTGTTCTGGCTTGAAGCTCGTTTGCCAGCACCTTTGCTTGATTCGCGCTTGCCTTTCTGTTCCTTTCCTTTGCCTTTTGGTTTTCCTTCGTTGCCCTTTCCCTCATTGGGATCTCGAAAAGGTTGAAGCTTCGTGCCAGGGGCTTCTGACCACACCCTTTGTTGCACCTCAAACTTCAGAGCAACTCTTTTCAGATCTTCAAACGATTCACTATCGCCATGCAACAAGCAATGGCTTCTACACCGATCTGGCAAACTGCGCAGCAAAACCATAACCGAATCCGCTTCTTGGATCTGCAAACCACCAGCATGCACATCGGGATCAAGACTATTGAGCAGCTTGGTGTACTTGTTCAACTCATGCTCAATCTTTCGAATGATCTCCGGAATACTGGGTGCTTTCACGGTTTGATTCACCAGCTGCGACCGAAAGAACAGGCATTCAGCTCGCGACTTCAGGCAAAACTCCTTCGCCAGCAATCTCAAAGCCACAAAACCAGATTGTTGATAAGTGCTCTCACTTTCAACATATGTCTGCAAAATCAGAGAACTCTTCTCATGATTTGCAAAAGTCTGTCGCAGGATGTGCATCAGCCTCGTCGACCTCTTCTGTTGCTCCACAGTAAGTCGATCCTGTTTCAGCCGAGACTCTTCTTGAGTCTTCACCGCATGCATGAGCTCATTGGGAAACACTTCTGAACCCAAACCAACCCAACTGGTCAGCTTCTCCATCCAGGTCAAGAATCCAAGAGCTTCAGAGATGCGATCCTTCCAAGACGAAAAGTCAATGGTCGGCAAACTGGGCAACCATTTGTCCGATCGAGCAAACACATCCCTTTCCCTTTCTTGCTCCAGAGGTGGAGGTCTCAGTGGGGGACTTGGGCTCGCCATCCGAAAAAGCTGGGTCCCCTTCGCAGGAGTACCCACTGGCGATGCACCTTGACATCCCGAAGAAGAACTGGGCATGTTCTCAGGAACACCATCCTGAGGTAAGGGGGGATTCACCTGTTGCTGTTGCTGTGGCTGCTGTTGCTGATGCTGCTGTATCATCCACTGCTGATGCTGCTGCTGTTGCTGCACCATGGACGAAGTCATCGTTTGCATAAACTGCTGTTGCTGCACAACCAGTTGCTGCATCATGCTTTCCAATTCTCGCACTTGTCTCGTCAACCCTTGCACGTCGGGTGATGTTTGTGATGGTGTCACCACAGGTTGAGGAGGTCCAGTGGATAGTCCTGGTGGTAACGAAGGACTTCCTACCGCTTGCTGAGGCAAACCAGGGGGAAACGAAGGGCCTCCCATTGTCTGTTGGGGTGCTCCAGTAGCTACCCCATGAGGGCTTCTGGCGGGAGTTCGACCTCTGGGCACTGGGCCATACACAGGTTGGCTTCCTTGTGCCAAACCTTGCACCCACAGTGGGTTGGGATTTCCCAAACCCGGAAAAGGGTCTACCCTTCGCCTTGTCTCAGCATCCATGATGGGCACAGAGCTTCCACGCTCTCGTCCACCTCTTGGACTCCTCACATGAGCTCCACTGGTATGTCGTGGGGGTGTATTCAACATAGTTCCTGAACTCAGGCTCCAGCCTGCAGTCTCTCCACAACGTCTTCTGGCGAAAATTCTCTCCAACACCAGATGGTCCAGGCTCCTGAAGAACCTTAGTTCTACTCTACCAAGCACCGTATTCCTCCAAGATCGGTCACAACCAATCCAGTTCCAGACAAACCACCTTGCCCGGGCTCCAAAGTGCCTCAACAGCCGCTGAACCAACTGCTTCCAAGCCTGATGAGTCCGGATCCGCCTCCTCACAGGGTTGGCTTCCCGGTACTCACTTACACGGTCCGAGTACAAGAGATTCCGGTCCACTGGCAGTCTGGGCTCCAAACCCTTGCCTCCAGGCACTCACAGAGTCCTGACAGACAACCAAAGACCATACACGGGCTCGTACCACAAGGCACAAGCTCCGCTACCACGTGAAAAAACCGAAGGTCCCTCTGGTACCTTTTCCCTTGAAAGCACGAACCCTGACCTCTCACACGTGCGGACAGCTCTCTCTTTTTCACAGTTAGAGCCACTTGGCCAAAAGTCACGAAGTGCACAAACTAAACGAATTCTCTCTTGTGAGCTTAAACTCAGCTTCAACGAAGTTCCTACACACTGCACACTCACTTTAAATGGCGTATTGGGCAAAAACACACTCGTATAATTTCCGCCTCGGTCCCACTTTCCCAAAGCTTGCTGCAAAAGCTAAAACAGACGAGCACTTCTTCCAGCTGTGTCGAGGTAGAGTCACCTGCTGAATCCGTCTTGACGAACAAACACTCACGAAGTTCACTGACGTAAGCATCATCCGTCAAAGCAAGCCAACAGGAAAGAACTTCAAGGAAACGGTGCCACTCTTCCAGCTCTCTAATCCGGCCTTTCTGTCCATTGATGACAGGCAGAGGGGGCAGGTACTTCTTGGCCCTGCTTGTAAAACTCTGCGAACCAGAGGCTACTCCACTGGATGGAGCAACAGGGGCACCCGAAGTTGCTGTCGAACTTAAAGTACAAATAACTTGAAGTGCAACAAGCAGCAGTTGGAGTCCCAAACGGGTTGGATGTGGCTCCTTTCACAGTCTCCTCCTGCTTTCGTTCATCTTCGGCGTCTAAACGGCGCTCCATCAGCCTCAAAGCCTGCTGTGCTTCTACAGCTGCTGCATCTGAGTTTGCTGCTGCATGGCAACTGTCTGGTTCGAAAGCACAGCCATCAAAAGCTGCTGCACCTCAGTTGCCCCAGAATTGATTCCAGGCGTCACTGGACCAGCACTCGCTGCACCAACTTCGGTGCCACAGTGGGTTCAAACAGCTCCGGGTCGTACTTTTCGTGTGGAAGATTGTGGCTGATCAGTGATATTTTTGTCATGTTTTGGATCAGCTTGTATGGGTTGTTTTGCTTCGGAGTGATTGGGAATCCGTGTAATCCCATCCTTGATGGTTTATGCCTCGTTGATTTCCAAATGTATTCAACATAGTTCCTGAACTCAGGCTCCAGCCTGCAGTCTCTCCACAACGTCTTCTGGCGAAAATTCTCTCACCAGATGGTCCAGGCTCCTGAAGAACCTGAGTTCTACTCTACCAAGCACCGTATTCCTCCAAGATCGGTCACAACCAATCCAGTTCCAGACAAACCACCTTGCCCGGGCTCCAAAGTGCCTCAACAGCCGCTGAACCAACTGCTTCCAAGCCTGATGAGTCCGGATCCGCCTCCTCACAGGATAACTCACTTACACGGTCCGAGTACAAGAGATTCCGGTCCACTGGCAGTCTGGGCTCCAAACCCAAACTGCCTCCAGGCACTCACAGAGTCCTAACAGACAACCAAAGACCATACACGGGCTCGTACCACAAGGCACAAGCTCCGCTACCACGTGAAAAACCGAAGGTCCCTCTGGTAGCTTTTCCCTTGAAAGCACGAACCCTGACCTCTGATCAGTGATGTTTTTGTCATGTTTTGGATCAGCTTGTATAGGTTTGTTTTGCTTCGGAGTGATTGGGAATCCGTGTGATCCCATCCTCGATGGTTTTGCCTCGTTGATTTCCAAGAAATCATACAAGTGTTTTTGCGCTATTTAAAGTGAGTGTGCAGTGTGTAGGATGTCAGGACAGGTCTATGCTACATAGGCTGGAATGTTGCAACGCCGTGTGTGTTTATTACACAGTTGCAACAAACGACGACGCGAGAGGTGTTCTTCTGCTTCTGGCGAGGACCTGTGTCAACCGGAGCGCCGAAGCTGGGGCATGCCTGCCACACGAATCAATGGTCGCTGACCGTCTAAGAAGCACTTTGCGCCTTCAGAACGTCAAGGTACACATTGGTCTTTCACCAATCGGGTTCAGAAAAAGGAATACAGTCTGCGTCTGGCTTCACCGTCCACGTCACAACTTGCTATAGAACAAAACTGACTTACTGCCTCAGGGTTCATGTCAGACTCAACCCAAGGACCTGACTGAAGGCATGACTGGTTTCTTGCACCCAAAGCTTACTGGCATGCACGAGAAGGCAAATAAATCCAGCAAATATTGCAATGTGTAAGGGTTCCGCAGGCCAAAGCTTCCAACCTGAGCAGTTGTTGTCTGCTAAAAGGCAGCTTCTTCCTGAGAGGTTTGCGGTCGATTCCTTCAGAAGTCGCTCCAGTCACCCTGGCAGAAATCAAAGATAGCGTACCATCACACTTCGTTCTGAAGCTGAGTAGAATTCGTTTAGTTGGTGCACTTTGTGACTTTTGGCTCAAGGCTCAAGTGGCTCTGACTGTGAAAAAGAGACCGTCGTTCCCTTAACGTGGTCAGTTTCCCGGTCTCAGTCCCTGCTGCCATGAGCGCGCAGCCTCTGGCGCTGATTCACTCCGACTTTACAATGCTGTGGGAACTGCCCGTGCGTTCTGGCTCTGGGCACCCGCCTAATCCCAAGACAGTCAGTCCAGATTTACCAAGGGCACTGGTCACGAGTCTGAAGAGCCAACGCCGCAGACGTGGAGTATTGAGGAGGTTGAGGCAAGAGGTCCTGGTCGATGGGGCTCCCGAACCAGATGCTGGGGCTTTTCGACGAGAGCTCCAGAATCTGGGTGCCCTGGAAACACGGGCCCTCCGAAACTCCGTGTTGGAAATGGAGGAATTGGAAGAAGAAGCTTTGGATGCGGACGACGTGGTGGAGGTGACTTCCGAGCCAACGACACCTCCGCCATCGCCCATAATGGTTCCTGGAGAGGGCATGGACTGAGGAGCAATGGTGTCGAAGAGGCAGGCGGAACGGCTGTCGAGGGAGGACAGCCCCATTCCGGAGCCCAACTACATTTGGAGAGGAGTGTTGGCGCCAGTGCCATTTCCGAGGCAACCATTGCCGGATACGTGGCATGTTTGTGAAAGTTCCTGTCTAAGGACATGTTAACTTTGTTGTCCTGCATGCTGGCTCAGAGTTGTGTGTGTGTAGTTGTAGGAACTCCGTAGTTGTGCCTTGGAGGCTCGACGGGAGTGCTACTTTAAGTGGGAAAGCCTTTTGAATTGCTTGAGTTGTAGGGATGTGTGTCTGGAAGCTGTAGAAGTGACTGTGCACGTTTTTGCTTGCTCTAGGTGTAGTTGGGTAGGTCCCGAGAACTCCCACTGACGTTTGAGTTTGTTTTGTGGCTGTGGAGAACACGTGGCAGAGCAGAGTTTTCACCTGTGTGTAAAGAGTTTCACTGACGAAGCCTCCGGCTTATGACTTTGGCTCAAGTCGTGAGAAAAAGAGGGTTCAGCGCGCTGCTGCTGTGTTTTCACATGGTAGCGGAGCGTGTGTAGCACGCTCGTAGAAACTAGAAGCCATGGCTGACCCCGGGCTGTCGACCCCTGTGCCTGAAGACGAAGACGACGAAGCTTTGTTTGGCCCCGGTGGTGCCCAGGACGGGCAACAACCGCCAACACAATCCCCTGGAGCTTCTGCTTCAGCGGGAGGACCCGCCACGGTCGTCGGACTTGACCCTCAACTCCAGCAGATGATGGTCCAGATGATGCAGAGTCAGCAAATGATGATGCAGAATCAGCAACAGACACTTCAAGTTCTGGTGGCAAAGATGGAGGCCGACGAGAGAAGGAGACGTGAGCAGGAAGCATTGTCGGCAGCTGTGAGCAACCCATTTGGGGGTGCTTCAAGTGCAGCAGCTGCTGGAAGTCCTACGGCAAAGGCTTCTTCTCCTCCACCGGCGCCATCACAGAACCTGCATGTTGGAAGTAACCGTGCAGAGAAGTATCTGCCAGCATTGCCGCTCATCGATAATGTTTCGATGGGAAAAGGGCGTGTGAGAGAGCTGGAGGAGTACCATCGGTGGTGCGAGGTGCTTGCTTCCTGGCTGGCGTTGATAGACGACAACTATGTCAATGAGTTGCGCCAGGCAATGACGCATGACCGTGAAATCAAGCAGTCTGACATGGCAGTTCCGGTAGCCTCGCGTTCGGCAAGGTTGTTTTACTACCTGCAACAAAGTCTGCAGAAGTTCGAACGTGGGATGGAACTGGTGAGAAGCACGTCGATGCGTCAAGGACAAGCTGCTTGTGGTTATGAGGTGATGCGTCAAATGCACCAGACCTTCAGCATTGTCTCTCGCATGGAGGCCATTGCTGTGAGAGATGAAGCCCTTCGCCTAACTTCGAAGGCGAGTTCGTACAAGCGACCGCTTGACTGCGTCCGCTTCCTTGAGGACGAGCTTGGGAAGGTAGACCAGAAGCTGCATCGGTTCCCTGAACTGAGGCTTGGAGCATCTGATCGTTCAACCCTTCTTCTTCAATCTGTCAGCCCAGAGTGTAGGCATTACGTTGTCCTGCATGGGAAGTCTGGGAGCTGGGAGGAACTGGTTGAAAGCATCCGGTTCTACGAGGAGCAAACCCGATTGTGTGATGCTGGTTCGCTGAATGCAGTTGGGGAGCGCGGCCTCTGCTGGAACTGTGGCAAATCAGGCCATATGAGTTGGCAGTGCCCCGACAAGAGCTCTGGCAAAGGGAAGAAGAGGGATGAACCGAAAGGTGGCAAGCCTTCTGGTTCCAAGAATCGAGAGAAGAGTCCTAAAGGCAAGGGCAAAGGCAAAGGGAAGACAGACAAAGGAAAGGGTGGAAAGCCCAAGGGGAAGCCCAAGAACAAAGGAAAGCCCAAGGGCCGAGCTGTGGAAGACGAGCAGTCTGATCAGGTGATGGCAATGCGGTCTCATCATCTGAGTGGCTTGGGTCCGGGGACAAGAACTAATGAGCCCAATGAAGCTGAGCCCCCTCGTCTCACCATGACGAACGGAGAGATCGAGAGACTGAACCAGTCATCCTCTAGGAATAGCTCTTTCGCATGGCTCATTGATAGTGGAGCCACCTGCCACGTGTTGTCAGAGAGTGCGTTGGGTTTTTACGAAGTCGTCAAGGAGCATTCGGGACCTCTTCCTGTGCTCATGAGTGCTAGCGATACGCCCATGGAATGTGTCAAGTTGGTTGACATTCGGGTGAAGTTTGGGAAGTTGGGGCCCGTAGTGCTTCAACAGGTCTTGGTTTGCAAGATTGGTTTCAACGTAGTCAGTTCTTGGCAAGCATCCCTTTCGGGATGGAGTACCTGGCTCACCTCAGAGCCTGGAGCAAGCTGCTTGGTGAAGCAGACGGAACGAGGTTCCTCGATGTGGGTGCCTTTGGTTCGTGAAGCCAGGAGCTGGTGGGCGTTGGCTAAGGAGATTGGCCCTACCAAGGCAAAGCCGAAAGGAAGAAGAAGCAAAGGGGACTCACCCAAGCCGGGGTGGAGCCCGAACGACGACGCGATGGAAGTGGATAAGGTGCAGAAGAAGGCACCGCCCAACGTAGGAAGAGCATTGGAGGTGACGCCTTTTAAGTTTTTGTTGCGAGCATTTTCAGTGAAGCAACATGTGGGGGAACATGAGCTGCATGAGCATGTTTTTCAGGAGCGTTTGAGTGGATGTGAGCATGCTGCAGTTGCGAAAGTAGGAGTAGACCTGGAAACCCCACCCTCTGCATGTTGTGCTGAAGCTTTATGTTCCGCCGCAGCTGTTTTGCTTAAGTCTGCAAGCAACACGTCTTTGGAGAAGCAAACCAGTAGGGACACACGCTGTGGAGACAAGGGTTTTGAGTGCGTAGGGGTAGGGCCTGTGCCGCTCCAGCCTCAGAGTGTTTGCATTAGGAGTAGGAGTGTCTTGCGTGTAGGACGTAGGAGTGACTTGCACCCCAGCGCTTGTGTGCCTGAGTGTTTGTTGGGACAGAGTGAAGAGAGGAAGTGTGCCTTTCGGAGCTTGCGTTGGCCAGGAGTGTTTCTGAAAGCATTGCTGGTGTTGTGTGCTCTAGGAGTGTTTTGCTCAAAGCCTGGAGCCTTTGTAAGGGACCTTGTAAAGGATGGAGCTTCCGGAAGCCTCGCCTCCGCTCTGTCTTGTGAACTCCCAAAGTGGGAGTGTGGCCCAGGTGGAAGCCTTTTCGACGAGCATGATTGCTCGTCTTGCGCACCGTTTCGAGGAGGAAGGTCAGCTGTCTCTTTCGAGGCAGCTTCTCCAAAACATCGACCTTTTTACCTCGACCCCTGGCTCGGTCGAACGGCTGTTGGGGATTCCAGCCTGCCTTGGGGAGTTGGAGACACAGGAGTTGGTGATCAATACAAGCGGCATTGCGGTGAAGCAACCTATGCTCATTGCCGAGCTGCGAGCCATTGCTGCTCCGACGGTGGACCAGTCGGTTTTGACGGACACCCTCGTCGAAGAGCACGACCGTCGTGCAGAGTATGCAAGGTATGGCTATGTTTTGACCACCATGGGGGTGGTAGTCGCCGATGTGACTGCTACCATCCGCCAACCGCACCTTCCATGCGAGCAAAGGGGGTACTGGCGCAACAATCAGGTTGGCATCCAGCTCACCTTGAAGAAATTCCTTCTGTACCTGGAGGCGATTCGAGAGTTGCGGTGCCATCCTGCTCAATACCAGTTGTTCGAGGCAGGGCTAGCAAGCATTCTGCCAAACGAGCTCAAGGTCGAGCGTGTGCCGGCTGCCGACTTGAGAGCGCTTTTGGCGGACGTGCTCGTCCAGAGCAACCGCCGGGTGACTTTGGCTGCTCAACCGCCAACTATAATACCGGATGTTGCACCATCCGCGTCGGGTGGCACGGCACCGCCTCTTCACAAAAGTGCCCCAGCTCCACCTCCTTCGGGGTGGGCTTTGCTCAACCAAGCGCGTGCAAAAGCCGAGGCAATGATTCGATTGCATGCCGACATGAAGAGAGCTGCAACAGCCGAGGTGGCTCCATCATCGTCGACGGGCCCCGCTTTTCCACCAGGGCCTCCGGCTTTCTTGCCGTTCAGCCCTCCTTCCCCGCTTACGCCGTCCGTCTTTTCCTATGCTCCATCTTCGGCACCAGGCACGCCTATGGAAGCAGGCATGCCTCTAACTCCGCCTCCTCTACCTCCTCCATCTTGGGCACCAGGCACGCCTATGGAAGCAAGCCTGCCTATACCTCCGCCTCCTCTACCTCCTCCATCGACACCGCACCCAGATACATTGAGGGAGCTTGCGGGCGAGGTTCCAATGGAGGTCGAGATGCCGATGACGCCCGTGGAGGCATTCGGTGCCCCTGGGACCCCTATGGACGTGAGTTCCGAGGTCCCAAGGGAGCCAATGGTCGGTGGGATTGGAAGTCCGGGGAGCGCTTCTCCTTTGACCCCGCCGGCAGAGACGAGTATGGTGGTTCCAAATCCACCGATGGACAATTCGGATGTGGGAAACTCGGGCTCCGAGATGGATTGATATGCTTGGGTATGGGCCCTGAGGGCCTAAAAGCCGGGCATGAGTTGCTCCGATCTTCGCTGCAATGCACAAAATTGGTAGGAGTAGGTCTGAAAGCCCTGCTGTTTGCAGTAGGAGACTGGCTGTGTGCATTAGGAGGTAGGGTAGGAGCGTTTGAGTGCTTGGTAGGTGACTGTGAGTGCAGCCTGCCTGCCGCGAATGGGTCTGCACACTGTCCCTCTGTGCCCAGGTCTTCATGGAAAGGAAGCAGTGCCTTGGCTTTAGGGTTGGTTCTGGGTTTGGTTTTCAGAGGTTGGCTGCGTAGGTGCGTGAAGCTTTTGAGTGTGCGCCGTAGGAGTAGGCTGAAGTTTGTGCGTGTAACTTTGGTAGGACGTGTGCCACGTAGGTCTTGGAGTGTTGTGCGCCGCCTGTTGTTTTTGCGTGGCGTGCTTGCTTGTGAGTTGAAAGCTGAGCTTACGGGCGAGGAAGCAAAAGGGC